ACCTACACAGTAGGCATGACCATATGTAGAAATAAAGTGTATCTGAAATTTCCAATAAATACATAAATGTTAACCAGTATTACTTTCGCTGACTTTGTAAAGTTTAAACCAAGTAAGTGGCACAAGTGATTCCATTCTTACAAGGATCCTAATTCTAGTGCTAATTTCTACAACTTTAAGACAATCTCTACTAGGCTTTCGGAGCACTCTAACATATTAAATTACTGTAACACAAGATCCTAAAATTAGACCAATTTGGACCTCTGTATTTGGATGATTCTCTACCTAACTATTCAGATAGAAAACAAACTAAATTTACTGGAGTTGGCACCAAAAATACCTCCTGTCGGGGAGCAGACACCTTGGTTCTTTCCCTTCCAAATCTGCCCTGGGCCTTGTTCTAACTTAATTGCAGCTTTCCTATTCTTGAGCAGAACCGCAGTCCTGACCGGTCACCCTAAAAACAGCATGTGTCTGGCGGGGTCTGAGCCCTGCCATCTCCAACGTGACAAGAAAAGTCCACACAAAATCCTGCCACCGTCGCAATCCAGCCTGCGAGTGGCTGGACAGCCCGGAGCAGGTCTGACACAGGGCGGGAAGCGTTCAGAACAGCCTGCTCGGGAACATCCTGGGCAGTATTTCCCAGCCACTGACCCTGCGCAGAGCCGGCCAGGCCACGAGGCACATCCTGCAGCTGCGCCCAGCTTGCACCCTTGCTCTGCCAAGAGGGAGGAAGAAAAGCAAACAGTCCTGACCCCAATTGTCCCCCGCCAGCCTGACACTGCCCTCTTCTCATCCCACCAGGTCCCAGCCTACCAACCACACAACCAGAGCCCTTCCTGTGAAGACACCTGTGACTGGGCCAGAACTTGGGGCTCCATGAGGCCCCAAAGCCTGAGGACCCGCCAGAGTGATGGAGGCCAGCCTGTGAACCTGCAACCGACAGCAGGTCTTCCGGAGCACGCGTGTGCTCACAGCAGAGCTGCAAAGCAGACTCACATCGAACCATAAACACTGCCTTACAGAAGAAAATTGTAAATTGCTTTTAGAAGCAGAAAAGTCAGCAGAGCTTCCCGACAGCAGGCAGACTTCACCTACATTGCAAACCTACTCCTCTCTGTGCCGTTACGAGTCTGCCAGCACAAAAGTCCCGGAAGCCCTGTGCTGGTGGCTCCCGAGTAGGCATGTCCTTTAGCCTGGCACCAGCCTCAACGAAGCTGTACTACCTGACACCGTACCAAACTTGTGCGGGGCTCCCAGCCGGCAGCCACCTCAGCTCACGATCCCCTCTTCCTCTCCCTTCTGTGTGGCCAGATCTATTGGGTGAGTCTGCACCCCTCCACACAGCCCATCTATCTTAGAAAAAGTGGGTGCACCAGAGGGAGGTGGGCACACAAGTCCACGGACACCCCAGAGCCAACCTGAGGTCTCTGACTTGGAATGCACGCTCTCTCCACTCCTAGACTGCTGCCCATGAACAGGGAGTGCAAAGCCCAGCGTGCAGAACCTCAGACCGCAGTGGCAGCCATGGAAGCCACACAGACAGACAATGCAGACAGGCAACACATGAGGTCCCTGAGGAGAACCAGGCTGCAAAGTCCCGTGGACTCTTAAAGCAGAACCTCGTTTGGCCTACAGATATGCAAGTGAAGGAAGCTCCTTTTATTGCTGAGATCAGGCTGGGCTGGGTGAGCGCACTGGCGACTCTCACAGCCGAGCACAACCTGATGCACAAAGCCTCTTCCTACCTCGAGCTTCAGGCTTAGTGCAAGGGGACTACGGGGTGCCCCCATCTGCGTCAGCCACCCACACATGCAGGTCTGCCAGGGGTTGTGACTGCCACTCAAGGAGACAAGTTGCATCTGGGGCAGGGGAGCCCCTCACAAGTGTGCACGAAAGCGGAGACTGGCCCTTATTTCTTGACATGGGGAGAGAAGAAAGGAAAAGGAAATGGATAGCTGCGAGGAGGAAGTTTCCCGACCCACAGCCAACTCTCAAGGGAGGCTGTGGCTATAACCGGAAGCTCTTTGTCTTTCCAGGCCCCTTTATCAACCACAGATGCAAACACACAAAACACAAACAGCTCAATATCCTGGGGTGAATCATCCCAAGGGGGACACCCAAAGCCTAAAACAGATATGAGACTTCAAAAGATTATTTTTCTCACCGTACTTTCTTTTTCTGAGAAAGAACTTTAAAATTACAAAAAGTGAAGTGCAAGCCAGTAAGACACCGCACATTGCATGATCTCAGCGCTGGGTATCAGGCTAAACAATTCTGCAGCAACCCAGGAACAAAAGCGAAGCAGGAATGTTATAGAGAGCAGGCACCAGAAATAGATTTGCTGAGGGGCTGGGAGCACGGTAATCAAATTCACCAGGCAGTACTTTAATAATTACAAAGGAATATATGCTGAGTCTTACAATACCGTCGCCTGAAAAAGCAACACTCCCGTCCCCATATCTTCTTCTACCCCACCAAGAGACCCAGCGCTCATGAGCCTTTCTCTATAGCCACACAAATATACCCGGACACACAGTCCTAAATCCTCCCATTTAAGAAAACAGGATTGTATCACAGATATTACCCTCCAATATGCTTTTTTATAAAAACTGAAGACAGAGAATGCCTCCCCCAACATGATATATGTTTAAAAGTTAGCAAAATGAAGGTGTATATCTCATGGAGCATGCTGAGTACCATGGAAAACCTTCACTGGTATCAATATCTAGAAGCTAAAGTTAATTTTTTGCTTTTGTTTTATATCCAGAAAGGGCATTCCAAAAATAGTTTAGAAAATAAAATTATGTAGGGCTGAAGCCCAGACATTTTGTCTGCTAAAGACTCATGAATGTTAACAGTTGGCATTTCGTTAAAAGGGATATTGTTTTATTTTTAGTGGCCACAACAAATCAGGTATTCAAATGCACCTAATGTTCTACTCTCCCTCCTATTTTCAATTCTAAAAGAACTGTGCTCGTCAGAGCCAAAAAGAAAACTGATCGGCAGCTTACGATATAATCAATTTCACCCATCTCCATCCCAGACCCCAGGTTGAAGGCTGTCTTTTATTTGATATCAGACCACACTTTCATTAAAACAGCAGAACCAGGAGGCTTCCCCACCTGAAATCTGAACCTCTACCCAGGGAGACAAGATGACACCAGGCCTCGGTGCCAAACCAAACAATGCTATTTCCCTGCTTTGCGGCAGCAGCTTCTACCTTGTCCATTTGGATCAGCATTTTAAATAACCGCTGAGCTGTAACTACACCTCGGCTTGGTATCCAATTATCAAAGTAACAGTCCAAAACTGAGATTCCCGCAGCTCACATTACTGGCCGCCTCCCTCCCTCCACCACCACCTGTCAAGAAGGATGGAGGAGCCCAGTTCCCACACGATGCCTACTGTTTCGTGAAGAAATCACTACCCGAAGTTCTTCTCAAAACACACTCAGTGCTACAGTCTGAGCGTCCGTGTGCCTTCAGAGCCAGGGTATTGACAGCTGGTCGCCAACAGGATGGTTTCAGGAGATGATGCTTTCAGGACATGATTAGATTCTGAGGCAGAGCCCACAGGAAGAGAATCAGGGCTCTGACAGACCCAAGGCTCCACAGAACCTTCCCTGCACTGCAGGGTGCAGTGAGAGCCAGCACTCAGGCACCACACACTGAATCCACTGGGCCCCTTGTCTTGGGACTCCCAAAACTGGGAGAAATATGTTTTTCTGTTTATAAGCTACCTAGTGTGCAGTATTTTCTTATAACAGCCTAAATGAACTAAAAGATAATTGGTGATGGAGAAAAGACAGGAATATGTGATGGGAAATAACAGAACTTACAATTGCACTCATGCTTTTTACGATGTATTAGTTCCTGCAAAGTCATGTATGTTCCCCTATTTGTATCATTCATGGTTTTATTTAATTTATATTTCCTCCCCAAATTGACATCAAAATGAAACTTGTCGCAAAGATCCAGTTCTTCTCCATGCACAGACGCACATTTTTCAAAGAGGAAAAGAGAGGTCAAAGGCAAGACGAAGTTATTACAACTCCTTCTGTCGCACACTTCCTTTCCCTTCTCTGAAGTTGACACGGGTAACCAAGGCTCTGTTTCCTGGGCTCAGCTAACAACACACCTTTACTTCCCTGGATGCAAGAGCACGTTTTATTCCAACTCCTGCAAGGCTACATGTGAAGGTTTATGTTACTCATGCTCTAGAGAATTTATCAAAGTAATACTGTGAAATCCTTCATAAAGGATTTTTGCAACAAAGGTTTATTACATATGTCTTTACACAATTGCATTTTGTACCCTCTTAGAACATAACATGCCAAGTCCCATGCTTCCAGGAACCAAGAACATATTCTTTTATTATTATTTAGTGTAGGGTCTATAGGGTCTCACTATGTAGATCGGACTCATACTGATCCTCCTGTTTTCAGCCTCCCAAGCACTAGGATTACAGGCGTGCACCACCATGCCCAGTCTCATTCACCATGTCAGCATACCCTGGGGGTGGGGTTGGCAAAGCAGGCTAGGATCAAACCCCACTTTAGGCCGCTGAGCTATCTGGCCAGCCCCTAAGAACATATTCTTAACAGGCAGAATGCCTTAGTCCCACCTGATGACAAATATCAAGATGGGTCACATCTTTTTGGAAAGTTGACGGTTGCATTTAATGAGTGGCTTTTCTCCACGATTAGACTTTGCCCAGCTTACGAAGCCAGGCAAGAAGATGTCCACGGGTTGCAAACCCCTGAATGGATGTTCTTCCAAAAATAGGAACTAAAGCCTTGCCTTTCTTTCCAGTGTACCACTGTGCCTTGAGAGAGAAAGGTTAGCAAACATTCAAAACTGCAAGGGGATAAACAAGAACCTCTGGATTCTAAGGAACAGAGAAATCAGCAAACAAAAATGAGAGTGAGGTAGAAAAGCCAGCCCTCTGCCACAACGTGTGAAGCGTACCCACCCCGGGTGATCTCCCCACATACTCACATATATCTCATTGTGGTCGAAGCGCTTCTTGAGGTTGTTGATGAAGGTCTCCTCATTGAGAGGCTCCAGAAGAACCATATCCCCAACTCCAATCATGTTGTCCAGAAGGGACGTTTTCACCTCCATTTTGGCCATGATCTCCGGCTGGAGGAGAGAGGGAAAGGAGCCATTTAGATGAAGGACGTCGCTCTCACCAACCTACAGCAGAACAATGGCCTCGATGTTGACGCTCCCTTGGTCCACACTGAAGATCCCTCACAGGTGAAGTCCACCCACAGGAAGAGCAGCTGGGAAACCTGGTCTCCACTTCCTCCTTCAGACCCTCTGCTCTCCCCAGCTGAGACCGCAAGTCGCTAGTAAGGAACCAAACCCACCCTTCCCTTGGGCCGAGCATACCAAGATCAGACTCCAACATATGTGAACCTGCCTCATCCAGGGTGACATCCACCAGCATTCCACAACAAAACTCAGCGCAAGAACTACTGGCTGCAACGTGCTGCTAACACTACCAGTCACGAGCCAGGAAGCAGATACCTGACCACAGCGAAGAGCTGTACATGCACAAATCAATTCAATCCTCACAGCAACTCCATGAGGGAGGCATTGTTTTCTCCATCATAAGAAAATTGAAGGTCCCTGAGATTAGGAGCCTTACTTTGATGACTCAAGAGTTTTGCATGTAGTGTTAAAGAATCGCATCACCATGTATAACACTGCATTTATGGACCATTCCACACACTCAAAACTAACTTAGAAAGAAAACACCACTGCATAGTAATAGTGGATGCCGATATAATGTAGCCTGCCAAGAGTGACCTCCGTGTCTCCAATCCTCACTCCAACAGACATGCCACCATGCCAGCAAAATCAAGCACATAGACAATGACTAGACCAGAAACATTAGTCTCCCTCTGGCTCAGGGGGAAACCCCACTGAGGGGAAACAGGCACAATTCGAGGGCCACATTCTGCCCTACTCCCCAGGGAGGGTGACACTGCACAGGGAACACTAAATCCTCAGGCTGATCGCTGTGGCAGAGAGCACTGAAGCTCCTCCAACATCTGAACATGAGAGCGTGTGTGGAGTGGATGCAGTGAGTGTGTGTTACTGCATGTGCTTCTCTGGGTTACTTTTTCTAAAATTAGCATGATGTAGACAAACTCTTCCGGGCCATTCGAAGTGTTAGCAACACAGAAGACAAGCATGTGCAATTTCTTGTGTAAATGCCACCAAACACGTGGGAACACTCACAAACACACATGCACTCGCCCTGGCAGTGTGTAAAGCACTCCCAGGTGACAGGAAGGCTGGCCTGCGAGCTCAAGCCTCAGACACTGAGGAAACATCCTCCTCTTCCAGTATCCAACACCTAGGAGGTCTCTGAGGCAACAGAAACCATATCTCATTGCATGTCTCAAAGAAAACTGGAAAAGAATAGTAAGTGATTCTATGCATTGCTAGCAATTCATACGAAGCCCCAAACAACATTCACCTCCGACCATAATGTATTTGGCTCTAGGAAGCCAGAAAAGAAGACTAAGACAAAACCAAAACGTTGCCCAACAAGCAAGAACCAAGAGAGAATTGTTTAACACTCAACAGAAAGATAGAAGAATTATTTTTTTTTAAATTTCATGCCAATTACACCCGGAATAAATAGTTCCAGGTATCACTGAAACACAACAAAGTGGGCCAGGCTCTGCTTTAGAAAAAAAAAGATGTGTGTGTGGAGGTGTCTGCAATTTTCTGGGGATGGAACGGGAGCCCAGGAAGCAGCTGGGCTGATGCCAGCATCCAGGAAAGACGTGCGAGGAGACAGCACAGCGAGTGCCCAACCTTTGTCACAATAAATCAACACCAAAGTCAAGTTTCCAGTTCTCAGGCTCGCATGATGCCAAAAGAACTTGAGTTGCAATGAATTACATGTAATTTGGCAGAGGAGGGAAGAAGGCTGAGAGGTTAAGAGGAAAGTCAACCCAAGAAGGGTTTCAAAAATAACTACCTCCACCCAGCAATTTCAATTAAGCAAGGTGCCTGAGCAAGAATGCTCTGCCCCAGGTGGATTTCTGGATGGAGTGTATTTATAGGAACAGCTGCAGAAAGACAACACCACGTGGCTACAGGTAAGAGTAATTAAGCAGCCATCTAACTCTGTACCGAAAGCTGTCATCATACAGCGCTTCCAAGTAGGTTTCAGGCAAGTCTGGAGGGCTCCTAATCTTCACACCTCCGTCCCAACCTCATAATCTAAAGTGGTAGCAGGGGCTGCGAAAGCAAAACACAGGCTACACTGTGGGCACTCGATTAAAGTGGAAAACGGAAAACACAGGCTTAGCAAACCAAAATATAGCAAAGCAAACCAAACTGAAATGCTCAAAGGGGCCTCCCTGTCCCTCAACAGACAATGGGAAAATGGAAATGTGGAATTTACACACAATGGAGCGCCCCTCTGCTATATGGAAAGATACGCTGGAGTCACTTATAGGAAATGGGTGCGCCCTGGAAGCTAAGGTTCAGTGACATAGATCAGACACACGAGCCTAAGTACGGCACCGTTTCTCTGAGATGAGAAATTTGAAACATATGCATCTGTTCTATGCCATAGATAGATCCGCTGGAAATGCAAAGGGAACCAAGAGATGAAGGGGGGAGGGAAGATGCACCATGCACGTGTACCAGCACCCCAAGCTGTGGTTTGTGTGTAGGTGTCCCCCCAAAGCCTCATGCAGTCACAGGGTGGCCTGCTAGAGCCTGCGATTAATTCATGATCCAATGCTGGGATTACGGGTGTGGGTGCTATGCCCATGGATAGCCGGAATGCAATATACAGAAGGGAGAGAGGGCGGCCTGCCTCTGCTGCCACCGCCACTGCTCCTCCCTTCTGCTTTTTTTTTTTTTTTTTTTTTTGGCGTAACCAGGGATTGAACTCAGGCCCTTGCACTTGCCAGGGAAGCGCTTATTTTACTGAGCCATCTCCCCAGCCCCTCTCCCTTCTGCTCTTGCTGTTTTGCTGCCTTCTGCCACCATGCACTGCTGCCTTCTGCCATGTGCCACTCTGCCTTGGAGCCAGCTAGGTGTGGACTGAACCCTCCACAAACTGTGAGCTACATAAACCTGTCCTTCCCTAATTCGGGGTATCAGGTATTTTGTCCCAGCAACGAGAGAAAAGTAACCAAGACACCCCGCGAGGAATGTAATCATTTTATGTACTGTAAACATATACTAATAAAAATAAGAATTTTTTAAAAATCCAATAACAAGATTTATTTAGTTACGCAAGTATTTTTGTTTTTCATCTTCTTAGCATCTACATGTGGGGGGATATAGGAACAGCTTCTTTCTCCAGGTGACAACGACAGGGCACCAAGGAAACAGCACAAGGCAGTGCCACACCTTCTTACAACTGAACGGGTTTCCTGGATGGCGACCGCCCTCTCTGCAGGGGGCGATTAACTTCCTTTGACATCTCAGTGAAATAAGTCAGTATGTTTGGTCCACCCAAAGAAACTGAGTAGGTTTCCTCGGGGACCAAGCAATGCTTACCACGGGAACAGATCTCGGGGTCCCCTGCTAACTCAACATTTCTAGAAATCATCAGCGCTCAGATGGGGTTGGAGGGGGCATTCATTGAGCAGGCCCAAAGACACCACTGCTATGCCTGTGTGTGCACACTGTGTTGACAAACTAAAGCTCCCTGTCAAGAAACAGACCCTTTTACACACGTAGAGATACAGATACCCGGGCACCCTCCCTCCCGAGGCCCCCACGGACATCCATGTTGTTGCTCTAGGGAACTCACGTGTACCCCGTGCTCCAAGGTGCCACGTGACCGATACTATGCTTGCAACACATCTCCCAGCTACTGTAACGGACTCACGGCTGGATGGCGTGACTGAACCTGAACCTCTTTGGCTTGGAATAGTAGGACAAAGGTCCCCTCTAGCTCTAGATGGTGCGACCCGCCTACGTGACACTCGAACAGCTGCAGCCCCGCAGCCATGCCTGAGAGAGGCTGGTCCCAGGAGAAAGGTAACACATGGAGAAAGGCAGGGCAGGGAAGTTGCTGGGAATTATTAATGACGGGGTCCTAATTAATGTCACAAATCTCTGATCAAATTGCTCTTGGCACCTGCCCCTTCGCCTCTCAAGTTCTCAATGATGTAAGCCAATTCGTTCTCTTCATTGTTGAAGGTGACAGGGCTGGACTTTCTATTATTTGTAACAGGAAGCATCTCACCTAATAAAAGAAACTGGTACCTGGACGTGGACTGTTCTAAGTATCACCAAAAAACAAGAAGTGGCCAAGCTGTGGAACTGAGTGGGGGGCACTGGCCCGGCAGGATGATCACCTCTGATGTAATCTGTCTTCCTGACACCCACAACCTCAGAAGGAAAGGTTCGGCTTGGCTAAGGGTTCCAGAAGCTTCAGTCCATGGCTAGCTGGCTCCAGGGCAGGAAGGCAAGAAGCGGAGAAGGAAAGCTGATCCCTCAAGTGGGCCAGGAAGCGGAAAGAGGAAGAACCAGTAAAGGAGGCGGGACTTCCAGCGCAGCCCCCAGTGCCCGCCTCTTCCAAGCAGAACCCAATGGCATCGTCAGCTCTGAACTCACTAGCGGGTCAATCAGCTGATTGACAGACATCCCTATGATCCAATCAGCTTCTACAAGCCCCATTTCCCCATCTCTGAACCTATGAGACTTTGGGGGCCACCTTATGTGGAAACCACAACAGTATCTAACAGCGAAACACCTGGCTAAGCCCTGGCCTTGAGGCTTGGACCTTGCACCTGTGCCATCCGAGAGTTCAGGATGCCAGCCAGAGTAGGAGGTTAGTAAACCCTGCCTGTCTGGAAGGCCAGAGAGGAGACCGTGGTGCTCTGGCAGCCTAAGACACAGATAGGCGGGCCCTATGAAGACGTGGCATCTGAGCTGCTCCTCCACACTCCACTGGCCCCAGATAAACTCTATTAACCAAGAAGCACAGCACTCTGCAGAGAGCCAAGGCCAGGAGCTGAAGCCCAGCCCAGGCTCTAATTTCAATACCTTAAGACAGGGCAGTTTGGCTAACTAATCCGTGGAAGCAAATAAACCTTAAAAACCAACATCATCTTTAAGGGACCTACACCACTGAGTGACTCTGGTTGACA